TGAATTCTACCTTTAAAATTCATGAAAATTTTGTTTTATATGTCTACATCTGTTAAAATGCTGTTAAATGTTCCATGTGTGGATTGAGTTTCCCTAGGAAATAGACTCTGATGGGTAAAATTTGAATCAGGAGATTTATTTGGGATTGCTTTGGGGAATACCTGTAAGGGGGGCGGGGTGAGGGAAAAGTTGAACTACGATGTAGGGCAGCAGGCCTCAGCTTATCCCACGGGAGCTCAGAAGCTGGGATGGCCCTTCAGAGATTCTGGAATTGAGGTAAGGAGGCCTGATCCATGTACTTCCACATGGACCAGTGATTGGATGTGGGCTGCCCAGAGATGGCTGTAACCTAGGCAAGGCAGCTCCCTACACTGAATGCTGAGTTCAGCTCCTTGCGGGGTGGGGGAAGGATTAGGCTGTGAGCAGCCAGTGGAAGGCACTTTATTCCTGGAAGGCTTGAGAGGGTGGGCAGTAGACTCGGGCAGCTTACCACAGCATCCATTACATTATCTTTGAGTGACATTAACTCTAGGAAAATGTGTCATGTTTATCTGTCATTGTAAATGCTCCCTAACATATCCCTATACTGTTTGACCATAGGTCTCCACTTCAGGGCCATACCAGAGACACTGGAAACCCATCATAGGGGATTCAGAAAATAAGACAAATTAGGAAGAAACTGAAGCAGAAAGAACAGTGTAGAGACCTACTATAATCAACTTTATGGTGGTAGCAGTAGGAATCAAGAACAAAAGATAAATATTTTTGTCTAACCAAAGACTTCCCATCTTCTACTGTATCTATGCCATTTGTCTTGTCTTCTCATGTTTTGACCCTTAAAGGACATAAAGACCATTGGAAAATTTTAAAGACAAAATAGGATTGTAAAGATTAGTTTTTCCGTGATGTTTTCAGCTTTTTAAAAGTTATCTTTGGTTTATAGATTTTAGGGTAATCAATATAGTACTTGCTGTGGAATCAGCCTTTAGACGTCAGAGGAAATACAGCAGAAAGAACTTAGTTCAAAATGGGCATATGCAGCCCCATACTGCACTGTGGTTATGGACAGGGAAAGATGTGTTGTTAGGTTGTTGGTTTGTGTATGTATACTTGATTTTCTCAGGCATTAAAGTTTCAAACTGTTTTATTTTGATGCTGATTGAATCTTTTTGACCTGTCTAGTACTATTATTTCATTTCTTGTGTATATTAGGCTTGTGTTTCTTATTTTCTTTTTATTTACATATTTGTTTTAGTTATTATTTATTTTATCACTTAAATGTAGTATGAGCTTGGGTTGCATTTTATTCCCCTGAAGTGCAGAGCACATGTTTTTGTGTGGCATAGGTAAGATTTTTCTTCCCTACCCCTCAAGGAGATTCTGAAATTAGAGAGGAAAATACAGATTTACCCCTGAATGATTTTCCTCTTATTAAAGTTGACTTGATAAGAGCTATTGAATAGATTTTTTGAATATTCTTATTTGAAAGTATCTTTAATCACTTATTCAACAATTATTTACTAAGCCCCTACTAAGTGCAAGGCACTATTCTGGAGATTGGAGGATCCCATCAGTGAACAATTACATCAGAATTTCTCATGAGGCTTACGATCTAGCAGGGAGAGACAGACAGTTAACATACTAAGTCATGTGGATTGTTAGAAGGCAGGATGAGCTTTAGAAAAGAGGTAGACTGGGGAATTACTAGTGGCAGGGTGTGGGGCTTGGCATTTATATAGAATGGTTAGGGTAGGCCACACTGAGAAGGTGACATCTGAGCAAGAATGAGAAGGATGTGTGGGAATTAGCTATTAGATAGAGTGGATATCTGGGTAAACCATTCTAGGGAAGGAGAATAGTCAGTACAAATGCGCTAAGGCTAGAGTGGGAAGACAGTAGAGATGAGGTACTTATTCTCGGCTCTCATTTTTTGGGTTGGGAGACAGAAGAGTGCTGCTGCTGTAGCCTGATAGAGTCCAAGGGTGCCCAGTTCACCTCCTTATCTCTTCTCTTTCACCATATTAATTGGAAAAAACTAGAAGGAAGACTCTTCTAGTTAATAGAATAATATATACTTTAATTCTTTTGGGGACGGAGCCTGGATTACAGTCATCAGAGGAACTCAGAAAACACGTGTGCCTCTCCCTTTTGGTTTCCTCACTCAATTCTGATTTCGATATTTGATAGTTTGTGGACTTGTGTTGAAATCTCATCAGAGATTTATTTAAAAGATAATAAGCCCCTATTGAAAGATTAGGGATTTTGAATATCAAAAATATTGTATATGCCAGTACATCTGGTACATCTTTAAAGATAGAAAACTGGGAATCCTAATTTAGTAATGATCATTACTGAGATTTTGACAAAATATCACACCGGATGTTAACTACCCATTATCTACAAAGCCCAGGTATAAGTCATAAATTCTATTCGTTTTCCTTGTGTAATATATCAATTTATACACATTTATTTTAGCAAAAATAAAGTAGAACTTTATCTAGCTGTTTTCTAAAAGTTATATAAGCCACCGGGGACAGCATCAGGATACTTATGTTCCCAGCATGACCGTTCGTCATCTGGGGTCCCATCCACACATCTTACTTCATATCTGAGACCTTGGTGCCACTTCCACCTGCTTCAGTCCTGCTCTGTCACTTGCCTTTATGGAATCTCCAGGCATGTCAGTTAGCTTTTGTGAGCCTCAGTTTTCCCCAGTAACATGGGTTATGGTTTGGTTAAATGATGGTTGCTTAAAGGCTTAGCACTTATTAGCTGCCCTGATTATTGCCCTAGCATCCTACTACAATCAAGAGCAGTAGCCAAGACCATTGGAAAAGAGCAAGGCTCTGGATGAGGAATAGGGAATGGGGCTGGGGCAGTGTGGAGAATTAGGATATATATGTTTAGGGAGTTGCTTTTCCCCAGAGGCTGTAAATTCAGGGGTCTCCTATGTTTCATTGCTTATATTTTAAATACTCACAACATTGTGAGATACACAGTAGTATCTTCCTTTTAAAGGAGGGGAACAGGAGGCCCAGAGAGAGTAAGCCCATGACTCAGGAGTGGCAGGTGTCTTTTTACAAATTCTCAAACAGGAAACCTGACTTTTCTTTTTTAAAATAATTATGGAAACACATTCTGAAACGATCAGAAATACTTTTTCCCCTAATTTCTTTCTTAGGGAGAGACAATGCATTATTTATACCTATGGAGGACAACTTCTTTCCTTTTTAAAAACATTGCAGTAACTGTATTGCTAAGTGTGGAGAAATACTTTTTCCCCTAATTTCTTTCTTAGGGAGAGACAATGCATTATTTATACCACTTTTTCTTCAAGTCAAAGAGTAATTTTATTCTTTCTGAGTTAATACTCCTATACATTATTAAGTTCAAAAAATCAGGTGAAGTTATTCTCATTTTTCAGATAGTTAATCTGAGAATTTTTTTGTTTTTAAAATTATTTAATTTATTGAAGATGACATCACTTAATAAAATTCTATAGGCTTCAAGCATAGAGTTCAATAATACATCATTTGTATATTATGTGTTCACTCAAAGTCAAATCTTTCATCACCATATATTTGATCCCCTTTACATTTATCTACCTCCCTCTGGCAACCACTAAACTGTTATCTGTGTCTATGAGTTTTTGTCTTTTTCATTTGTTGCTTTCAGTTTTATATCCCACATATGGGTGAAATCATATGGTTCTAAACTTCTTCTGTCTATTTCAGTTAGCATGATAATCTCAAGATCCATCCATATTGTTCCAAATGGTAGTATATCATCTTTCTTGTGGCTAAGTAATATTCCATTGTATAAATATACCATGTCTTGGCCACCATAAATAACGCTGCAGTGAACATTGGGGTGCATATATTTTACAGATAAATGTTTTTGACTTTTGCGGGTAAATACCCAGAAGAAGGATTGCTGGGTTATATGGTAATTCTATCCTTTATTTTTTGAGGAAACTCCATACTTTCTTCTATAGGGGCAATACCAATTTACATTCCCACCAGCAGTATATGAGGGTTCCTTTTCCCCCACAACCTCTCTGATGCTTATTATTTGTCTTGTTGATGATAGCCTTTTTTACAAGTGTGGGATGGTATCTCATTGTTGTTTTGAATTGCATTTCCCTAATAATTTGTGAAGCTCAGCATCTTTTCACGTCTTTTGGCCGGCCATTTATATGTCTTCTTGGGAGAAGTGTCTTCAGGTCCTCTGACCTTTTTTTAATTGGATTGCCTTTTTTTTGTGGTTAACTTGTATGAGTTCTTTATATATTTTGGATATTAGCCCCTTATCAGAGGCATTGTTTTCAAATATCTCCTCCCATTCAGAAGTTTGCCTCTTTGTTTTGTTGATGGTTTCTTTTGCTATGCAGAAGCTTTTTAGTTTGATACAGTCCCATTCATTGATTTTTTATTTTACTTCCCTCACCTTTGAGGTCAAATTCATAAAATCCTCTCTAAAACCAAGGTCCATGAATTTAGTATCTATATTTTCTTCTGTGCAATTTATTGTTTCATGTCTTATATTTAGGTCTTTCGTTTTATTTTGAGTTAATTTTGGTGTATGGTGACAGATAGCAGTCTACTTTCATTCTTGCATGTGGCTTTCCAATTTTCCCAGCACCATTTATTAAAGAGGCTTTCTTTTCTCCATTGTATATTTTTTGGCTTCTTTGTTGAAAATTAATTGCCCATACATACATGAGTTTATTTCTGGACTCTCCATTCTGTTCCATTGGTCTATATTTTTTGATGTTCAATACATATTTGTTAGATAATTTAATGAATTTCGATTTTTGAAATGTCTTTTATTTATTTTTAATTGGATATATGTATATATTACAAAATGGTTACTACAGTAAGGTTAGTTACCACTCCCGTCATCCTCAAATAATTAATTTCTGAAAGTATCCATTTCAGTTTGACAAGATAGCTCAGTAAAATTTTTATGCCTAAATATTTTATTTTTATTTTAATTGGTAGAATCTTAAGAAGATTCAAGAAATGGAAAAGAGTGATGAATCCCACACAGACCTGGAGGAGCTGAAAAATGCTGACTGGGTAAGATGGTTGGATATTTTCTCTGTTTTGTTTAGTGTCAAAGAAATAGCCTAATTTTTTTAACTAGCTGGTCATTAAGGGCTGTAGTATGAATCGATATTATATGCATTTGAGTGAATAGTCTTACATTTGAGGAAATATCTACTCCCCATTTTTGGAAACTATCTGATTTTATTAGAATCACCCCAGTGTCTCTGGGAATTTCAGTGTTTTAAATATTGACATTTCTGATTATATTAATACTTTAGCATACTCATGTGTAAGTCAAAGTTTAACCTCTGTTTCAGGATAAGGTATGAATCTATAGTGTAGTACATTCATTTATTTAGTAAATAGTTACCAGATTAGGGCCCTGGGCTCTGCCTTCATGAAACAGAAGACAAATTTATAGAACAGATGATTACAGTTTATTAATGTGGCACACTTGACTATCTACTGTTTTTCCAATGTGTTACTGGATCGATAAATTCCTGCCCTCATAAATGACTTAAAGTCAGACAGACATGATGACCTTGGGGACAGGTCAGTGAATGCCATGCAGTTAGACTGGGATATGTCTGTTGTCAATGGGAAGGCACATTTTAGGATTCTGACTTTTCAGGTTAAAGATACTGGATAAATAACATCATTAAATGAAGGAGTAGGAAAAGATGCAGATTTGGGGGAAATGAATGATTTGCTTTGGACCATATTAGATTTTAATTGTTTGTCATATTTTATAACAGCTGAGTAAGGTATAATCAATATCCAATAAGCTGCACATTTTTAAAAAGTACAATTTGATAAATTTTGGCATATGCATATACATACCTACCCATGAAACCATCTCTACAATCAAAATAATGAGCCTTTCCATTACCCCTCAAAATTTCCTCATATCCCTTTTTAATTCTACTTCCTGCCTCCCTCTTCTCTAGTTTCTAGGCAATGAGTGATCTTCTTTTTGTCACTGTAGATTAGTTGAATTTTCTAGAATTTTGTATAAATGTAGTCAAATAGTATATACTGTTATTTTTGTTTGACTTCTTTCATTCAGCATAATTCTTTGGAGATTTCATCCATGTTGTTGCCTATATCAATAGTTTATTCTTTTTATTGCTGTTTAGTATTCCAGTATATGGACATAGCAGTTTTGTTTATCCATTCTTCTTTTTATTGTCATTGGGTATTTCCTGTTTGCAGTATTCTTAATGAGGATATCTTTGCTGAGATACTTGGAATGATTTTAATCTGGAACATTAAAGAAAGAGTAAGATTAAAAAATCAGGTAGCCTATATTGTCTTATAAGCTAGTTTTATTTGTCATTTTAGAATAATATTGATTATCAAGTTTCCTTTGTAGAGGAGAATACTCTGGCAGTGTCAGTTAGGTATATTTCAACTTGGTTAATAAATTTTTAAATTCGTTTTCATAGATATTGAAGCCAGATAAGTAACTCCAAGTGTTCAGAAGTTAGCAAACAGCTAGTATAAACTTGAACCAAAAATTTAATTTATTGTCTTAAGGCACCCTCATTTAAAAACTAGTACAATTACTGACAAGAGATGAACTAACTCCAAAGGTAGTTATATCTGCCCAGGTCACCAGCTTCTGTCTCATAATACCATTAAAATGAATTACCTAGAAAGATTATAATGAAATGAGGAAAGAATGAGGAATAGAATGAAGGAGAATCAGAATATCTTGAATGGCAGAATCTAAACATCTCAGAATATAATCTCTAATGGAATAAGGGATAAATGTAAAATCTCTAGGAATATATATACAGTAACAGTTGTGCATCATTTTATTTAATAACTGTGAAAAGTCATATGTAAAATTTTTGCCAAACAATAATACTTAAAGAACTGGCTATATAAAATAAGTCTGTTTGAATACATTTATACATTATACCAAAAGCTATGCAAGTAGTCATCCCCTAATTTATCTGTTTTGAGAATTTAAAATTTCATATGTCAGGTTTTCTTAAAACCCAAGGAGATCAAGAGAAGAGACAGTATTTTAAAAAATGAGTTGATATTTGAACTGAATCTTAAAAGAATGAGTAAGAGAAGTTGAGACAAGAGCATTCTCAAGAGAGAAAACTAAATATTTTAGGGATATATTAGAATGTCTTTAATGGCATAATCTAAGAATCTGTTTTTAAAAATGAATATTTTAGAAGATGTTTTAATGGAAATACCACAATATTAAGTACCTCAAATTATTTTTTGAATAAAATATGGTATATATATTTTTTAAATCAAAAATTGTTTTTGAGGACTTTTTTGAGAAATTTAATCATAGTTATTTTATGTAGACAGTTTTTATTAAATACATCACTTGATTTTTCATTAATATATTTAAGTAGCTATTTGACCTACTTATTAATTTTAACAAACTGCAATATTTCCGTTAAATAGTGTGTAAATTTACTTTTCACTCAAACTATGACACCTGTGCTTACAGGCAGGAAAATAAAAAGAGTTAAAGTGTAATATTAATATACATATTTAACATGTTTTATGTTATAAGTACTTCATATCATTCTCTTGAAGGGTAGACAAGGAAATTTGCTGTTATTTATAGATAACTGATATTAAATAATTTGTAAAGATAGTAATAACATAAAATTTGTCATCTTTGAACATTTTATGTGTACAGAAAACGATACTTCAACTATGATCTTCTCCACAAACTGTGAAAAACTGTTTTCTTTTATTGATGAGGAAGCCAGGCTTGAGAAAGGTGAAGCAACTTGCTGGATGTCAAATAGCTAGTAGGTGGTTGTATCAATTAGCTATGGTGACAATAATGCTGTGTAATCAGACACTATAAAATCAGTGGGGCATAAGGTAATAACATTTATTTAGCTCATGAGTCTGCAGATCAGTTGTGGTGGCTTCACTATTTGTGTATCTCATCCTTCTTCTGAGGGATCATGCCAGTGGGCACCGTGCCCACCTGAGCATGATGTTTTCATGGTAGTAATCGAAGAACGAGCGATAAGCCCATTGTGCATTTGCTTTTGAAGTCTTCGGTCATGTCATATCCACCACCATTCCAGTGGCCAAGCAAATCATGTAGCCAAACCCAGAGTGAAGGTGTGAGAAATATGTGTCTTCCTCTTTAGTGAGAAAGCCACAAAACAGAGTGTAGACATGGGAAGCCTGAAGAACTGAGGTCATTAATGCCTACCACAGTGGATGAGTTAGGATTTATACTGAAGTGTCTCAGCAGTTAGACCTTTGGATTCTCTACTGGCTTTCTACCCACTTTTTAGTATCTTAAAATCTAATTTTTAAAATTGTTTTTGTTTGGTTTACTCAGTGTTTTGTAACCCAAGCTCTTCATTTTTTTCTGTTTGACTGTAGCTAGTAGTCATTCATTGATGTGTCTCCACCGTTGGTACTTTCAGGCTCGATTCTGGGTACAGGTGATGAGGGATTTGCGGAATGGAGTAAAACTTAAGAAGGTACAAGAGCGGCAGTACAACCCTTTGCCCATTGAATATCAGCTTACCCCATATGAGATGCTAATGGATGATATTAGATCCAAAAGATACACTTTGCGAAAAGTGATGGTAAGTAAAAAAGAAAATGATTAATGCACTCAAATGGTTATTCTTCAGTAATCTTATTTGTTGAAAATGTTCTTCTCAATATTATAGTTTAAAAGTCATTTCTTCTCATAAAGTAATACATGGTTATTATAGAAAATTTAGAAAATACTAAAGTCAATGAAAAAAATTACAAATGTGTAATTTTACAACCCAGAGAGAAATTTCACTAACATGCTAGTGTATAATCTTTAATCTTTTTTTATACATTTTATTAGGACAGTATGGATTAATATTAGATACTTTGTTTTGTAACCTGTTATTTCACTCAACATATTATGAACATTGTGTCCTGTCATTTTGTATCCAATTTCTTTCTCTCTCTCCCCGCTCTCTCTCTCTCTCTGTCTCTGTCTCTCCTTCCTTCCTTCCTTCCTTTCTTCCTTTCTTTTCTTTTTTTAGCAAGAGAAAATAACCAAATTTAATACATACATATGTATGGGAACCCCACATACTTGAAAGAGTCGGAGACCCCACATGAATGAGAGGTTCCAGTATCATCATTTCTAAATGACTACATCTTTTCTAGCTTATATCTGTACCAGGTTTGTTAAACTCATCAACTTGTATCCAGTTATAATCACCCTATTTTGTGTATCCTTGTATATAAATTTCTTTAAATAGCTACCATTAAATCCTTGAGTTAAGCTCTTAGAAAAGGAATTCTGATAGCTCAACCTTTGAAATATGTCCTGAATCTGACTACCACCTCTGTTTCAGATGCCCTCTGTTCCAAGCTACCATCATCTCTCATCCAGACTGTTAAAATGGCCTCTAAGTGGTCTTCCTATTTTCATTTTTGCCCCTTTTCAGTCTGTTTTTCCCATAAACAGCCAGAGTAAATCTCTTAAAAGTAAAATGTTATTGCCCTTCTCAGAACTTTTCCATTGCCCTTCCATTGCTCTTTATCACACAGAATAAGCTCCATGTCCTTACCTTGGCCTGCAAAGCCCCACAAAGCCTGGTCTCTGCCACTGTCTTGAAAGTGCCCCACCTGTTCCTACAGCTAAGCCTTCGCTCTTCCCTCTCCCCAGAGCTTCTCTTTTCCCACACATCTACATAACTTGCCTCTTTACTTTTCAGGTCTCTGCCCAGATGTCCCCCATTAGAAAAGTCTTTACCCATGTGTTTCAAAAGCTCATATTTTCATGTATTTTCAGATTTATTGTCTCTCTCCCTTACAAATTATAGGGACTTAGTTCTTTCACCATTATATTCTGTGTGACTAAAATGTTTTGCCTAACATGCAGCCAGATACTGAATACTGTGCTCAATAAATGGGTGTTGAGTGAATTATATCTACATTTTTGAGAAAATTTATCAGAGTTATTTTATGTAGAAGATTCTTATGAAACATCACTTGGTTTTGTAATAGGTTTAAATAGCCATTTGAGCTGCTAATTTTATTTTATTATATATTTTTAATTTTTCAATTAGCATTGGCTTACAATACTAGTTAATTTTAATAAGCTATGGTATTTCAGCTGAATGTTGTGTTAATTTATTTTTCAGTAAATCTGATTTACTTTACAGATGAAGAAACTGAAGTTTAGATGTGCACAATAACTTGTCAAGTTCAGACAACTAGTTATAAGGCGAAGCCCAGTTTTCAGCCCAATATGCTTCACACATATCACCAAATTGCCTTCCAAATATATTGTAATGATTATTGTTTATATCAGGATAGTTTCACCCATTTCTTTACATCCTTGACCAAAGTAGGTATCTTTCGAAGTTGACCAATTTGAGTGGAAAAAAAACACTCTCTTAATTTTTTAAGTCTGTATTTTTTTAATTACAAGTACATTTAAACATTTAAATTTGTAATTTAATGTTTAAATTAAATTAAATTACAAATGTAATTGTAATTTAAAGTTGTTTGTACTACTTAATTTTATTTTAACAAATATTTATTAAGCACTTTTCATGTGCCAGGCACTTTTCTAGTCTCTAACAAAAGAACAATACAGTCTTTAGTCTCACAAAGCTTACAATATGGTGGAAGACACTAGATGAGCATTTACAATACAGTGTGACGAGGTAAGCAGAAGGGGTTATATGCCAAAAAAACATGTCCAAAGGCCAAGAAATAATGAGACTTGACACAAGAAAACCACAACAAAATTTGCCTTTATTTGAATATAGAATGAATGGAGTGTAGGAAATTGTGAGGAGTGGAGTTGGCAGCTCATGTACTAGATGACTCAGGGACAGTGCAGAGGGTAAAATGAGAGGACAACTCAGGACAGAGACTGCAGAGCCTCACTATTTAAGAGATGAGAGCAAGGAAGGGGATAAATTAAAGACTGAAACTGTGTAGTCAGAGAGGAAAAACAAGGCTGTCAGAAGAAGTTGGGTCACAGCTACAAACAGGAGGCAGCGTTTTAGGAAGGTAGAATGCTGGAAAATCAGATAAACTAAGCACTGCGAAATGTTTAAAGGATTTAACAAAAGGAAAATGATTTGTTACTTAAGTAAAGGAATAGAAACCATATAGTAGGGTGGGAGGTGAGGAAATGGAGACAGTCTAATTATATGTGCCTCTTTTAAGACGTTTTTAAAGGAGATCAAAGAGTAGTATCTGCAGGGGCCCATGGGGTTGAAAAAAGTTGCCTTAATATTATTTTTTTTTGTAATACAACTTAATTTGAGAAAGACCGTAGGGAAGGAGAAAGTAGAGCAATAGAAGCTGGGAGTGGAGTTTAGCAGGTTGCAGGGACTTAAAGAAGGCGGGAGGGTGGAGGGGTGTCCACCTCTTCGGCTCCTCTCCTTTCCCCATCTCAGGACAACCACTTTCCACTCTTCTTTGCCTGCCTTCGTGCCCTAAACACAGATATTCCTCAAGATTTGGCTCTTTTTCCAGAGTTCTTTCACACTCTACATTTTCTCCCTTACAAACTAATGAATTTGGTTATCGCCTATACTTCAAAATCGATGTCACTTCAGTTCCAACCTATCTCTAATGTCTCAAGTACTTTGTATATTTCAAGCTTTCTCCTGGGCATCTATGCCAGGACTTCTCAGTACAGGTATATCTAAGCAAGGGCCCAGTGTTCTATGTCCCAGAGTTTGCCCCTCTTTTTGTTTTCATGTAAGATCATCATTCTTCAACTCATCTGGGCTAAAATCCTTTAGAATCAGTTTGAGCTCTTTCCTTTCTTGCTATGTTCTCTGGCCTCTTACCAGAGTAATGCTGGCTTCATCGAATAAGTTAGGAAATGTTACCTTCTTTTCCAATTTTTGGAACAGTTTGTGAAAGATTGGGGTAATTTTTTAAATTATTTGAGTAGAATTCACCGGTGAAGTATTCTGGTCCTGGGCTTTCTTCCTACAATTTCAAAAGGCTTTCTGGATTACCCGTAGAAAAGGTCTGTCTTGTTGGGTGAAACTGAATACTTGTTTGGCACAACCTTTTAAATATGAGAATACATTTCAGACAAGTAGCTATAATGTTCATTCAGTGTTTCAGGAGATTAATTTTTAGTGTGCATGAGTGTGCTATGAGCAAAATAACAAGTTTATCTTCTGTAATAACTTAAATTCCCCGTAAGATCATGTAACATATAGATAATGTGAATTCTTTGGATGGTCATGGTGTTGGATAGATCACCTGACATATTTTAATTTAATTTTCAGCTATGAATTCTATACAGTTAATTGAGACTTTGATCTTTGTGAAAAGGAGGTTTGGAATATTCTGCTAATCAGAATGTCTTTCATTGAAGAGAGTACGTACTTCATCTTTGATGGCCTAAGGAGGATAGTGTTAACTTCAGCAAAGTGTTGCCAGTGAGGACTCTGACCAGCACACACTGTAAAGCCTGACTTGGGAAGCACAGATATGCTTATGGAACTTCTTGACTCTTAAGATAAGAGCAAGAGGTTCTTTGCCAGTTGTGCAAATTCTATTTTATAAATCTTTGTCCTTGACTGATAAGCTCTCTGTGTCTCCATAAGACTAAATGTTTTCAGGCTAAGCATGGTCATAAAACCATGTATAGCCTTACAAGTATGAAAATCTGGCTGATATTTTTATAATAGCATCATGATGAAAAAATTCCCCAGTGCAACACCCTGAATTGTGTCCTTCAACTGACGGTGATTCCAGCTCTTATGAAGTGCCCTTCCCAGTAGGCAATAGAAATTTTCAGTGGAAATTTCTTTTCAAGGAAGAAACGTGTTATAAATTAAATAGTACCAGTAAGATATGAAAAGACTTCAAGGATGAGCTTCCAAAACCCACAGAAAATTCTAGAATTATTGTTTAAAAATTCTCTCCATATGTGCTTTATAGTTGGCTCCATTCCAACTAAATGTGCTTTCTATGAACAAGGATTATAGACACTTCTTGAAATAATCTCCAATGCCGAATAGTGTTCCAGAATCATAGACACTCAATAAGATTTGCCAAATCAGTTAAGGAATGAGTTATATCCATGTTCATGGCCAGTGAGCTTTAGAAAATGTGTCCTATAGAGAGAGTGAATGATGTTACTAGACCATGCAAAGTGATTAGAGTGTGCCCACTATCCTTCAAAATGAGAAACGAATTTACTTAATAAGGAAGAGAAAGATCACTGGAAGTAACCCACTTAAATATAGATACCTAGAAAATCATGCTGTAGTAATAGTGTGTATAAGGAGGTGACCCAGGGTTATGAATTTCAGATTCTTCTCCTCTTCTTCATATATCTAGTGAATAGAAAAAGTGTAGAATTTTATTACTTTTGTTATGAGTAAAACCTTGGTATGATAGGGCATCATCAAAATAGGTGTCATACCTGAGTCCTAACTAGCATGCTATTCAGGAACATTGGGGCGTTAGAGAAGCAACATAAAGGCAACCTTCAGCTCTTAGCTCCATGAGTGTTGACTCTTTCATTGTATCCACAATTATCAGTTGTTCACAAGTTCGAGCAAAGAAATTTTGTTAGACAATTCTTCATAAATAAAGGTGTTAGCTG